GCCGATCATTTTAGCTTATCGGTAAAAGCTAATTGCCACGCAACTGACCCTGTATATTTCAAACCAAGGCAATGTGTAAAATACCCGATTTCATGTTGCACTGCGGGTAGGCGTTAATCTCATGTGATATTCAAACTCCCTAATACGCAGGCGCTTTTAGCAGATTGAAGTTCAATCGACCTACTAGTTAAAAATTCGGCGTTCTCAATAGGATTCGAACACACGACAACAAAGGCAAGGCGGTCAGATTTTTAACATCTGGGTCAGCCGAACTATTCAAATATGTCTCCTCAAGCACCTAATGAATGGTGAGCCTATTGGATTCTAGGCTACTTGCTTAGGAAAACCTACTTGGACTGACAACTTGCTGTGGGTTACATGCGTTGCAGTAAGTTGGGACAACGGCTTGGCCCGACTAGAGACAAATTCTAGATCCTCGATCAGGCACCATAGCTCAGGTGGTCTGAGCGTTGACTGCAGTCAGGCCTAGCCCTGATTACTGAGTTTTACCTAATCGGCTTAGCCTGATCACGACCTCTGTATCGGTCACGTGAAATTTAAAAATAACGTTACAAAATTACATTAATAACAAGACCGCAAAACTCAACGAAATCAGCCCAAAGTGTTGGAAATCCCGTTGCTTTAATTTATCGTGGGACGAGGTCACTCACTGACGTATCGTTCTTTCCTACTGAAACGCTTTAGGATGCAGAAGCGGAATCAGTAGTTGCAAAGGTTCTTGGGACAATGCGTGCATGGCGGCCGCTCAATCCAGTCAGCGAGACATTCCTTCTGGAAGACGCCTGTTTGATCCCGGCCCAGGTAGGCATGATTACCTAGGATGCCCCTCCAACCAGAGTCACGTCAACTTCTTATTACTTTTAACTCTGTTCTGTTGGCTTTCATCTAGTATGTTCCGCCAGATTTTGTGTGTTTTAAAATAAAAACGCTACTTCCTACTGGCCGGCTCATTCTTCTATGTGTGCTTTGTTCAGAGTCAAATTGCAAAAACAATCAACGGTCTGGTCCGATTGCGGGAGGAAACACGGGCGTCCCGTTCTACTAGCCTGCTTGTGTCAGCCTACAACTTTCTCACGCGGTCACACGGTACTGGAAAATAAATAGGCGAGAAGCGAAATTGGAACAGCCAGTTCCAGTTACGTACCACCAATTAGCAACACAAGAAGAGGGAGGGGACTCTAACCTTTAGGTTGCTGACAGCAAAGAAGCTAGAACAGGCAATCCTGTTTTCGCATCCTTTGCCAAGGAATTTTCGATTACAGAGAGACTACTTTGTCCATCTGCAGCAACATGACGGTTGGGGAATAAATGGGAAAGCTCGCGTTCCAGATCCTCCTTTGCCTGAGTAAAGGAGAAGACTGGGTGAGCACTGGAACAGTTTACTTATTGTTCTAAACTGTCATACTCGTAAAGGAGTTGATCGTCAGAACCGGAAATTGATGGAAGTCTGGTCCACGGACGGGAGCTAAATCAACCGATGTATCGATGGTTCACCGGCGTACAGAGCCCTGCGCGGTTTAATGCAGACGCGCGTTACTCATAGTTGAGTAGTTTACATCCCATATAATTTTAGCCTATTTTATTGCTGCTATTATCTCTGAAGAAGAAACTCTGCACGAGTTTGAAAACTCAGAACAATAAACAAGCCGCTTCGGTGCTCGGCCAACCTTCTCCATTACTCAAGCCGGTTAGACAATGGGCACATTGCGTCATGATAAGTCGGCAACAGTGGATAAAACAGTCAATTGGGTGTGGCGAGATAAAACGCAGAGCCTAGCACGCGTTGT